AAAAAAAACTGTTATTTTTCCAATAAAGGGTACCACTTTTAAGATATAAAAACGTTACAGTTCATAACAGCATAATCAGAACACTTTTCCAATGCAATACTTCCCAGAAAAATCCTTCTTTAGAAAATGTTCACTTTTTTTCTAAATATTTTTCAATGAGGCATTAATACTATGATAAGTAATTACTAGCACAATCAGCCACCTGTAGGGCAGTATTTCTGCTAGTATACATAAATTTCTCTTAAGACAAATACATGAATCCCAGATGGTGATTAATAGCATGCCATGTTGACTCTTTAACTGAATGAATATCAATATAATTGGATTTTTACCCCAAACCTTTTGATTCTTATATGTACTTTTACATTAGTGACAGCGGACAATTTATGTAGAGATCTGAAGAAAATTTCATTTTCTCATTCACAAAATAAGTCTATCATCATAAATATGTCATTGAAGTTTTCTTTAACTATCATTATCTGAAGGAAATATATTCTGAATTTTAAGTGCAAAACACTACTTAAAAAAATATTTTGAGAAACCAGCATGCTTGAAAGCACTACATTACAACAAATCAATAACAAACAATGAAGTATGTGTGTGTGTATCCATTACTGATTATCTGTCAACAGAAGCTGCTTATCACCTGTATAAACTTCAGTCGTCCAGTAGGTCCAACTGGTTTATGTATGATATAATGTTGTCTTGGTCGAGCTTGTACTTCCAGAAGTACAGGACTTGATATACCTTGAGCAGAGGCTTCAAACAAAATCAGTGTCCCCTGGAAACAAGTTTACGTACCATTAATGCACATATCGTTATATTTACAACAAATATCTCTAAAGCTTGAAACAAAATCAGTGCCCCTTAAAAACAAGTTTCTGAACCATTAACTCTTTCAACCCGAGCTCTGTCCCTGGGACCGACCTCGTAACCATTTTGTGCTTGTTATAGTTTTCATGCTATAACTTTTAAATTAGTAACCGAATGTTAATGCCATTTGGCAGTTTATCAGTAAACATTACAATGCTTTCATATGCAAGATATCTAATTTTTTTATTAAGTATTAAAGTTTTTAAAGCAATGTTTCTCCCCTGCCTTTTTTCTTTTCACATCTTGCCTATCTATCATGCAAAGTAATTTTCGTTTTAACATTAAAAATACTTTTATGCATCAGAAAATTTTAAAATTTCACATGCAAAATCTTTATAATGTCCGAATATTGATCAAACATTTCTTAAGAAAAAAACTTTATATTTTATCTGTTATTTTCAGTAATTAATCAATATATACAGGTTCGGTAAATTTGACCGATCTTGCAACCACCATAAAAAATTAGGAAATAAACATAAATTATGCATTTCATTCTAGAATGAACACAAATTACAACATGAAAACATAAATGTTTAAACGAAATAGCTTAAATCTCATAACATTATATATTTATATATATATTTATTATTTTTATTATATTGACCTTTCACCCGTGCACTCATGTTACTGTATCAAGTAACATAAAACTGACCTTTGGTCTGTACAAAGTAACTTGTCTTGGCTGTGTTTTAGTCGACTAGAATTTTGTAAAAAATACAGGCACATTTCAATTATTATACATTACATATGTAGATTATTGCTATTTTGAAATAAGTTCTAAAAGTTAAATCAGTGCCTCCTAAAAACAAATTTCTGAACCATTAATATACATAGTGCTATATTTAAAAAATTATCTTTAAAGCTTGAAAGAAAATCAGTGTGCCTTGAAAACAAGTTTATGAACCACTAATATACATTGTGCTATATTTAAAACAACTATCTCTAAAGCTTGCTTTTCACGGCTTTTCCTGGACTGCTGAACTGTAGTTAAATGTATAGGTATTTAGTATGCCCACCTTAAGAAGAAGAAACCAACCATTAAATGCTCTCAATTATTTTCAAGACCCACCAGTATGCGTTATACCTCCCATTAGCCAATACTATATTTTATTCCCAGATTAATTCTTAAATTCCCACATTGGGGCTGAATAGAAACTACAGTTTCTGAGCATCCCTGGTTCTCTCTCTCTCAAGCCCCATCGAGGCTTGTGAGATTTAAAACCAAAACTACTGCCAAGTTTATTTATTCATTCAGCTCGAAACAAAATCAGTGCTCCCTGAAAACAAGTTTCCAAACCATTAACATACATATTGCTATATTTACAATAAATATCTCTTAAAAATCAACATGAATCATGTTTATAAGCATTGAAGAAAAGAGTAAAATATCAAAAAATTTTTTCCATAAAATGCTAAAAAAAATCACAAATTGTCAGATTATAACTCAGTGTTCTTGTTTTTACAGAAGTTCCTCTATTACAATGATCAATGTCTCTAGTAAACTACTAATAAACAACATACTGTAGATGTAATGAAGAGTAAGGGTTTGTCAACTAAGATTTATGTGGAACACAAGCAAATAAATAGTCAACTAGTTGTCCGTTACAGCTGTCATTTGTAGAGTAAGTGTTTGTCAACTTAGATTTATGTTGAAAACAAGCAAATAAATAGTCAACTAGTTGTCTGTTACAGCTGCCATTTGAAGAGTAAGGGTTTGTCAACTTAGATGTACGTGGAACACAAGCAAATAAATAGTCAACTAGTTGTCCGTTACAGCTGTCATTTGGTTGAATTTCTTCCCTGTGTTTTACTCATTCATTTTCAAAATCACAGTTTCACATTTTGGTTCGATGCTAGAGTGCTAAGCCCCCCATCAACCAGTTATATGTTAATCTCAAAGGTAAAAATGGAGGTTTAATCCATGATAACACATAAAAGGTACCCTAATGCTTTACAAACAATCAAAGTCGATATTTATTTTTACCTTGCAGAATAAAAATAAATAAATTCAACAGGGTTTGGATCATATATTTGTTACAAAGTGTAAAACATTTCAAAGAAAACACATACTTTGTAAATATCAGTCTCAAAAAACAACGTTGCTTCCCGAACATTCAGTGGTACAACATTACATGGCTTAGTAGCATCTCGTAGTTGTCGGCATGCAAGTCGGCCAAGACTGTTATAAATAGAAATTTTGGCATCATCAGGAGCTGGTGATTTATCCTTCCAATGATACTCGTTCTGCCAGTAGGAACTTGTGACTGGAGAGACTAATAAATTAAACATATTTAGAAGTATTAAAAGCCATATTATAACCATAACTCAAATATACAACTGAAATAAGCTTGACTTTGCTTTTATAAAACAAACTGAAATTCTACAAATTTTGTAAGCTTAACTATAAAAACTATAATTTTCAGGAATTCAACATGACAGATAAAATTTCAAGGAAATTTACAAAATATTGTTAACTCTTTAATACTTAATTGTATATTACTACTATGTACAATGAATACAGGTCTCCATTTGAGCTGATATGTTAAATGGCTTTCAACAAAGCAAAAGGAAAGACACTATTCATTTTAACACTTTAAATAAATGTTTCCATGTCATGAAAACTAAAGCAGTGATAATAGGAGCTTTTGTTTTAGATGACATAATGAATTGACTACCTAAGAAATGAGTGTTCTGAAAAATTTATGATTTTACATGGTCTGGTATTTTTCTTAGCTTAAGACAATATGCAGAAGTTCATGTTAACAAAAGTTGAAAAAAAAAACAACTAGTTAGTAATTACAATTACATTATAATTTAAAGAATTTGATAGAATAATTAAATTTAAAAATATCTTATGTTAGTTCTTGAAAATAATGAAAATTATCAATCACATAATCACACGGATAGCTGTCATAATGCAACAGGAGAAAACACATTCCAATTGCATGTGTCAGGTTACATGAATGTGCCGGATTCTTTATGGTAGGTGTCTGCGACTTTTTGGCTATAAATTTCAACAATAAATAAACAACACACAGTACACTTGTTTTACAATAATACATTAAAACGATTCAAATGTTTATACAAATGTTCGTTATACTGTTGGTTACCACTGTATAATCCTGGCTAGCTCACCAATGTCACGTTGCTATGTACGGATGGGCAGGATTTTTTTGAGTAGGTGTCTTTGACTTGTTGGTGATAAATTTCAACAATAGACAAACAGCACACTTGTTTTAAAATAATATATGAAAATAATTCAAACATATATACAAATGTTCTTCATACTGTTGGTTATCACAGTTGTATCTAGAGCTATAAATATTCATCTCTTATCGTCACCGTCCATATAGGCTGGTTCAGTTACTTTAGGACACAACTGACAAGATAAATTATTTCTTCTCTACTCTGTTATTACAATACAATTTGTGATCATTTTACTTTAAAAGTCACCACTATGCATACTTTATGGCTAATCACACAGTCTAGATTTATCTATCTAACTAACTAACTTCGTCTAACTATATTTTGTCTGCATATTTATAGCCTTACAGAGGCCTAAAATATTCTACACACTGCAAGGTATTATGATGCAATAACACTCAATTAAAATGATGAGAAAAACCTAGAAGGTTCTAGCAAAATCTAGTAACAATTGAACTACATAACATATGATTCCTAAACAGTGATGTTAACAAACTTGGGATAAACTATCTCTTCTAAAAATAACTAAATTTAATACTCGTATCGAACTTAAACCATCTAAATCATAACACTAGCATTAACTTCAACAGTCGTGTATATCTAACAATGTGCAAGGATCGTACTTACAAGTATACAAGAAGTGTAGAATCCAAACTTTTCTGTAAATCCTTGCTTATTTTAGACTAAAGTAAAAGGATAACACATGAATGACCTTCCATTACTTTAAAATAAATTAAAAAACACTTCATATTCCATACACATTTTTCTCATTACACAATAGTCATTGATTTGCACATTATATGTACTACTAGACTAAATTTAGTTATCTTAAAACTTTAACAAGAATTAAATATCTTAATCAATTTTTTACCTAGTTCTCTTGGTCCATTAATCCATCTCTCTACTTGTTCAATTATCTGTTGGTTAACTACAGGCTCAAATTTTCGACCAAAGAAAAATGGACGGTTTTCTGTTGCCTGAAGAAAAAAAGATAGAAAATTAGAAACCAAAGAACAACTTTGTGTAAGCATAACTTTATTAGAAAATTCTATAATTTTTTACAATCCCTTTGGGGCAGTATGGCTCAGTGGCTTTACACTTTAAAACTCAAAGTCAGATGGCTGCAAGTTCAAGGCTGGCATATGTCACATTGTTGTGTCTTTGAGCAAGACACATTACCAAACTTGATGGGTACCAATCTGTTAGCTGGAGGTTAACCTCCAATTCACTGGCATCCTGTCCAGGGGAACAGGTCACCATTCTCATCTGCTATTAGAACCAGAGTTTGAAAGTACCAGCCTTATGTGCCTTGGAAAGGTGTGGCAAGGATTTAACTTTCTTAACTTGATACTATTGACACATTTCAACTGAACCCAATGTTTTCAAATTCGATGACGAGGAACCCACTTTGAGACTAATAATGGCTGAACCCAATGTTGTCAGAGAAGAAAAAAAAATCTTAATTTTAAGTTTGTATTTATACAATGCTCTACATATATGTCTGGAAAAGAGTGTTTTCTTGTCATATTTCAAAGATAGTGACCTCTTAACAGCTAATCGTATAATTTAAATTTTAAAAAGAACCTACTAAGGATAATTATATCTGGCACTTAACAGGTGAAATTTAAGCAAATTCATTAATATAAAGGTTGTCTATGAAATATATAAGTTTAGCTCTTGACCATATTAGCACCAACATAAGTATTTTTTTACCACTCACTGAAAAACCTACCTTGATCCTTGGCCAATCATCAATTTTAAAATCATTTGGTGAGCAGCCACACCAGTCCACAACATGTCGGTATTGGCACTTACATCCCTGTTTCCGTTTCCAGTTGGTAACATGGAGGTTATTATCTATGATCTTTTTGCAATACTCACTATTCTGAAGTACAGTGTGGAAGAAAGACTGAAAACAGAAACAACACAAAAAACTCAAGAAAATTTAGTTTCAAATACTTACTACATGCCATGTTATATACACGGTTCGTAAAATAAAAGGATCTAATGTTTGAGCAAAACAAATCTGCAATCAAAGCAGTCAAATATATATAAAACAGAATCAATGAAGAAAAGCAGTGAAAACAACTACAACAAATGACATTTTTTCATCTAAAATCCTGATTTGATGTTAAGAAATTATAATTTCAATAATGGGAAAAGAGAGCTTATATAATATTTTTGATAGAAATTTGGTCAAATATTCTCTAGTATGCATGTAATAGTAACACATATGACCCATTTCTTTAATAAATCTGGAATAGGCATCATACTACATTCCGAAACTCAGAACTACCAATATGTATGTTGAATAAAACTGGGGAAATTGATATGGATAATTGAGTACATCAGTTATTGTCACGTAAACTAACTGATTAATTGAAATTAATGTTCCCGATACTATAACTGAACAGTGTGCAGGTGGATTGGTAGCAAGAATTAGCAATGATCTTGAGTGAACATCTGGTGTGCATTTGTAGATGAATACTATCTGGACATCCAGGAATGCAACAGTGCAACAGGCTAGTGTAGGGAGAAGGGACCTATGGTCAGCTGCGGTTATAAGGTAACTGTGAATTTTAGAACCTAATAAAAAACGTTGTTTTATAATCAGGCTAATACAGTAATTTGTAGTCATTATAGAATGAAAAAAGCATCATTTACATCTATTTCTTTTTTTTTATGGCAGTTACTAGGTCGGTCAAATTGACCAAACTCATACAGAGATACAATAGTGAAAAAATAACAGATACAATATAAAGTTTTTTCTATAAAAAAAAAACGTTTGATAACTACCTGGAGGTTATAAAGATTCCACATGAGAAATTTAACAATTTTCTGATGCATAAAAGTATTTTTAATCTTAAAATCAAAATTACTTTGCATGTTGAATGATCACCATTTGAAAAAGAAAAAAATGCACGAGCAAATCATTACTTAAAAAATCTTAAAGTTTAACAAAAAAATCTGATATTTTGTGTACGAAAGCCTTGTTATGTTTAATGACAATCTGGAGATTTCTTTACAAAATTAAGCATATTTTAATATTTATGAAATAGTGAAAATAAACATTCTATTATATGTTACAAAACTGGGTTTTGATACTCAAGAATATTTGATTTTTACATTTAAATAGCACATACATATTTATGGACATTTAACACATGAAATAATTAATATGGCAAAGTTAATATATTTATAGAGAAGAATAATGCTGTTGCTAGTAGCAGTCCTGAATTTGCTAGCGAGAAAAATAACTATCAACTTAGTCCCTTCAAAAGTTAAGGTCAAAGTATTACTTTTTTTATATATTTAATATTTATTCATTTTAGGATATGCCACACTGAAGGTAAATGATGAGATCTACCCTACAATTTAGGGATTACCATACATTGTTATCATTAAAACCTATTTGTTCTGTAATTTCTGTTTACTTCTGATGGATTTTAGTCCTGGCAACAGATGGTCTCTTAGATAATTTTACTAATAAATAAATTTCCTAAATAAATGGTGCTATTTAAAAAATAAATAAATAAATTGACTGAGATATTTGCAAATTTAATATATTTTTCTTACCTTAAAATAAAAAAAATCTACATGAAAAGAATTAAATAACCCAATTGTAAACTTTTATGCATATAAACTTATCAATGAAATTTCCTAGAATAAACTCTATATTTTTTTTCCACATAGAGATTTTTACCATTTGAGAATTTGGCATCTCTCTTTCAGAAGCTTAAACTATTTTAATATTATCATTCTTCCCTTAAACATAGTCTGTTTTTTAAGTGCTAAAAGTTTACTTACTTCTGCAGGAAGAAGTGTGTAACTGAAGACAGTTTTTAACCCAGTTAGCAACTCATTGTTTTCTTTTACCACATAGGTACAAAAGTCTCTACTCAGAGCAACCCAGTCACTTCCACCATCTATTTGTATACCCCAAGGAAGGGTGCGTTCTCCTATTCTCCACATGTGTGTATCACACTCATAGAAAGTTTTATCTAAACCTTGTTTTGCAATAAACCTAGAAAGGACAATAAAAAAATCTATTTGAAAACAGGTCGTGCCAGGAAGCAAAAAATATTAAGTTTCAAAAAGTTAATAAAAACAAATAATGGAAATTACAAAATAAACTTTACTTTTAAAAACATTGTAAAACAAGTACTAAGTTTTCAATTATACTTTCAGTAAGATGTCAAACTATTTCACAACTACCATTCCAGCATTTGATTTTAACATACAACTGAAGCGGTAATCTCAACACAAACATTAAAATATGCATGTGTTTCTGATGGTTTCTCATGAATAGAGTGGATTGTTTGCACTCCAGTTGGATTAAGCACATTAAAGTTTCCTTATATGTTTCATAACCAGTTGATTTGTTTAGCATGCGTCATACGTAGGGTCGTGTATAGCTAATATTAAATTTGGTGGTATTACAGTGGATTTTAATAACTGTACACAATACTAGACTTAAGCATATGTAAATTATTATTTAAAACTATAACTTTTACACATCAACTTGGTTAATAAAGTTGCTTATCTAACCTCTGAGTATCTTGACCATGGGATTTAACGAAGTTCATGCCCTTGTTGGCAGTCAGAAAACCCTCCAGTTGTGACAAAGACCTACAATATAGAAAGTCACCTACGATTAGACTACTACCACTGTTGTTTTCACGTCAAGTATTATACATACATAATGCAATAAGCATGGTTATTATAAAACTTACATTCTTTTTAAACAAATGCATATACTTTTAAATTCCTTTCTAATCAAATTATAATGACAAGACAGGTGTATCAAGAATATAAAATGAATATTAATTAAGTAATTTATCTGTGATTAATTTAACTCACTGGTATATGCATTCTGATGAATTAAATGTTCTTTACCACATCTGACCTTACACAAAACCAACAGTAAATGATTACAAAATTAACATAAACTCTTCAATTTGATTATTAAATATTGTTTACCTCATCTGACCTTACACAAAACCAACAGTAACTGATTACAAATTTAAGCTAAATCTTCAATTTGATTATTAAATGTTGTTTACCACATCTGACCTTACACAAAACCAACAGTAACTGATTACAAATTTAAGCTAAATCTTCAATTTCATTATTAAATGTTGTTTACCGTGTAAGGTCAGATGAAAAACCAACAGTAACTGATTACAAATTTAAGATTTATGAATAATCAAATTGAAGAATTTCCAAACTGTGATGCACTTACTTTATAGGAAAATCACTTTCACTTAAGTTTAATACATAGTCCCACTTCCAATTCCTAAAGGCAAGCAAGTCACAAATACATTGAAGTAACATCTGAAGGAGACTAGCTCCTCCCCAAATTGTAGAGAGTCTCCACCGGGATAGACGGATATTGGGAAACTTCTCCTCTAGAGGCAATAGTTCCCGGAAGAGATAATCTTGTCGCTAAATAACAACCAAGTTATTCTCAAGTGAAAAATGCTTGAAACTTAAATAAAAAATCAAGGGTTACACATTTATTTTGTTGTAGTATTTACCTAAAATATTTCTAACAAACCAATAACTAATGGTTTTCAATATATAAATTCTAAGTTTTTATTTTTATAATTGTACATATTGATAGCAAAATTAGTTTAGACAAAACTTTGGTATACTCAATTGATAAAGAACAAACTTACTATTTTAAAATCGTTACTAAGCACTTTGACTGTACCCCATATACCTCACTTTATTGTAGACGTACACATTTTTTTAATAGTTTTAATAAACCAGATCATATATGAATTTTTATTAGCGCTAAAATTATAAATTTTGGTATTTAATATATCTTAGGTTTGATCCCAATAAAATTATAAACCTAAAGGTGAAATAGTGTGAAAGATACATACATTCTTTGAACATGTCTAAAAGTAGATTATACATCAAAGTTAAGCCTAACTTAGCAATTTTCACATTCTTTAGAAAATTCTAAATTCAAATACACTTCAAAAAAATTAGGTTTTTTAGTTTCAAGTTATAAGTATTGTCCCTTATATGATTTATCTACAATATTCTAAAAACTGCCAAACTCCACATATAATTAAGTCTTTGTTTATACTAGTCTTGAAGTACTATGTTTTCAGAACCTAATTTGATATTCTCCTATGATTTATTTTCCTTTTATAAATTTTTGAAAACTAGATGATTAAGCTAAGGGCTAAAAAACTGTCCATTAATTTGGCAATGACAAAGTCTACAGTAATTTCATTTTCTAACTATCTGAGGTTTAGAATGTGAGTTTGTATTTTAAAAGATCTAAAAAGAAAATGCTATATTTATTGGATACTAATTTCTATTTTTAAGTATGTAGTGACATAACTTGAAAACATAAGAATGCAGATTTCATCTGACTGATTTTCCCCCCTCTATGTATTGTGTATGTCTCAGTAACATTTAAAAATATTATTGGCACAGATAACAAAGATATAACCCAGACAAATCATCAGTCTGAAGAAATAAACACTGCAATCAAAAAAGCATTTTTTAACAATAAAAACACTTACTTTAGTAAGTTTGAAAAATATTAATGCTGCTATTAAACAATTAATTGACTCATTTCTTGTCTCAATATTAATGTAATTGACTCCAGAAATTAACTGTAGTCAGAATTCGTTCAATTCAGAGCACGTAAATGAGACACTTTTAATCAGAATTTCTGAAATACACATTAGCATAAACAATATGTATTCGTGTATTGGATGATGAAAACTATTAAAAGTGGTTTGTTTTTTAATTTCTTACCTCATTTTCTTTATTTTTTTACTTTCATTCCTTAATTATTTTTAAATACAAGTAGAAATAATTTTAAAATTTTTATACTCCCAAATTCTCCCACATAAGAACCTGACTATATATATTTAACCAACATTAAGTTACTTCAAGATTTGGCATAAAGTATAGATATAAATTTTCACTGGATGCTTAAATTAAACCTTAATACATCCATTATGACATATCAAAAGAAACTGAATTTTTCAAATAATTTGTAGTATTTTGAAAATTTTTTTGATTTATCCCAGCATCAAACAGCACAGCCCATGCTCACTAGAAAATTTTCCCAAAAAGGAGGAAAAAAAATTGTTCTGAATATATATTTGTTAAATTCACAAGTACAACAAGTAAATTTCAAAGTATACACTACAAGTAACACAAAACACACAACTGAAGTAGCGCAATAACAAGAATGAGACACAGTGTGGTTGCTACGATGACCAAATCACATTCTTTCTACATAAAGTCACATAAGTCACTCTTAACTGTATAATTTAAGTAGATTAATGGGCTAAAGAGCATTTGTCAAAAACTGAATAATTTACATTATAAAAAAGACAGTTTTAGTTCACTTTACTCTGTCTATTTATGGCATATTTGGGGGAACTTTAATTATAAGAAACAATCATATTTAACATGAAAGTTGGTTCATGCATATTGCATGAGTATTTTTGTAATTCATACTCATTAGTTTCTCATTCACACAACTGAAACCCAAATTTTTCAAATTAAAAATGCTGTAATACTTATACTTTTTTCCAATTATTAATAGGAGAAGCAGTGAGATTCAAAATCACCTAGGCAACTTTAAATTTTAGTATTGCGAGTTTCAGGGACTCCTAAAGTCCTGAGTTAATCTCAGGTGCTGCTTAACCATGATGCTTAGTTAAAAATGTTTTTATACTGATAAATCACAACATACCAAATGTGAGAATATAAAACTACTTACAGAGTCTACATGAATAAAAAAATAATGTCGTGTATGATACAAAGCTCTGATAAGGCGACGGACTTGACGGACGGCTCGACCATTCACTGTAAGCAGGAAGACTATAGTGACTGGATCATTTTTCTCTGTATCTACTGCGGGCAATGCTTTATTTTTTACAAACTCTAGAAAAAATATAACAGTTATTTCAGCCTCATATGAATGTGTTCAAATTAAATTAGTTTCTTCAGTTAAAAATTGAGTGTAGAATAATAAAACAATAGGTTCTTACGTTGCGTATTGATAATGTTTACAGCTCTAATGCTAGAATGGTAGCGTTAAGTAGTTTTGAAAATTGTATAGATTTATCTACAAGATCACAGAAAATCTGTGAAAATCAAAAAACTGCTTTAATTAACCATGTAGTTGAAACTGTATTGAGTGAAGTTTATGGTATTGGTTTAGAATCTTAAGTAAATTCTCAAAAACATTGCAAAACAATGCACTGATGGCTAATCTTCTGTGGAATATTATCAAACAAAGTCAAAAACAGAAAGACAGTCCAAAGAGAACACCCAGAAATTCATAATAAAAGCCCCCCAGTGGCACAGCGGTATGTCTGCGAATGTAAAATGCTAGAAACTGGATTTCGATATCCATGGTGGGCAGAGCACAGATAGCGCATTGTGTAGTTTTGTGCTTAAATTCAAAACAAACAAAACAAATCATAATAATAATATTCATTGCCTTTACCATCACAATTAATAACTTACAGGGTCATACAGTTGACCAAGTAGGAATAGTCTTCAAGAATCAGTTTTTTTGCATGTTTCAATCTATAAGGATTTATCAAGAAGAACATTTGAACATGACTTTAAAATATACAGAAGTCAAAATGCTAATCAAGCAATACTTAAATGAGATAACCAAATATATATAAAAAATGTTGTTTTCATGAAATACTAGAAATAGGATAGTCATTCTCCATACATATATTGCTAGTAAATTATAGTTAATATTTAGAAAACATGTTCATAAAACATATATTTAGATAAAATTTTGAGAAGAAAAATTAACCATTATTTCCTGTCATATGACAAGCAATCAGCTGGTTAGGTTTAATTTTGGGGATAAATGACCAACAAATACTGGGATAGGTTTTTACAGGTTAACCTGCAGCAATGTTTCGTGTAACACATGTACAAAAACTGCTTAAGTAAATAAGTTAAATAAAAACTGAAAAAAAAGCTCACTTGGCAAACCAGTAGCATATACATTCATTGAAAAATATCCTCCACATACAAGACTCAGATTTTTAGGACAAGCCATATTGCATTCAGATTCATCAATTTTCATACTTTCAGGGGGTGGCTCTCTCCCGCAGAAACACTCTAAACTGTATTGTGTCCCTGCATACTGAAAGCCTGACTGGAAACACTTCTGTATGCATGATAAGGGAGTGTTATGGGATAATTTGGTAAATGTTCTTGGGAGAATTCGTTTTTGACTTGCATCCTTAAAACAACCAAGATATGTTCCTTTTTTATCACCTAAGAGCAAAATATAAAAACAAAGAACAAAGCCTTTATAACATAAAGAAAATAAATATAACTTTCAACAAAAAATAAAATAAAAATGTATTTTTTTAAGTAAAAAAAGGTACCATGCACAATTCACACAATGAAGATGAGGGTAAACAAACCCAAGATAAAACAGTATCCTGACCTAGAAAAACCCAACATCAGAGCAGACATGTCTGTAAAACAAGGGCTGAAGAGAAAAGGCATGCCATGGAACCAAAAAAAAACAGATTACTATGATCAACAGAAAATCTTTAATGGTATGGATGAATAGTCTTAACCAAAAATTAAAGGGATGATAATGCACAGATAGTAGTGGATATCAGAAGAAGTATACAGGAAAATGAAAGTATGGAAAATTAACCAAAGTATCAGGGTCCAAACCCCACATAGGAAGAAGAATTCCAAAAGGCACGACTCTAAATATGGGTAGTTGGAACTATAAAAGCAAAAACATGAGAAGCAAACATATGTGGGGGACAAGACATATTGATCCCCTGACTGCAATTGTTCCCCAAAATGACTAGCAAGAACCCCAATATCCAGGTAAGAAGAAAAAACTAAAGAATGACTCAAAGATAAATCCCCTAGGATGGCATAGGTTAAACTGAATGGAAAACTCAGAGATGGATTAGAGGTGAGTAAACTGTGGCTATCATTGGTTGAGGCTACAGGAAGTCTCTCCTCCAATCAGAAACGTGTTTTAACCAACCAATCATAACACGCTCTCCACAATTCACTAGAACACTATAAAGACCAAGCTACACCACATGCACACACACACTGACCTGAAGACGAAAGGCGAAAGACTTTCGAAACGTTGTCAGCTACATTTGTGGGGTTTCTACAACAGGCAGATGCTGTCCATTTGAAACTTAGATTCATTATGAATACTCTGCCTAAACAACCTATCAAAGATTACGACAGATAAACATATTCAGAACGAGGAAAAAGAGCTACCCAAAGTAACATCTACTCATATTGACACACACCCAGGCACTGGTATGACAGGAAACTCATCAGATTATTCTGAATGTTGCCTAAAATTATATAATTCTCTACAGATCATAGCCATCACATCAGTGGCCAGTAACTCTGGCACCAACCTCATAGACATGGTCAGTAAATCTGTTGTAGCAGTAACACACTGGTAGTCATAACCATCTGAAACTGTGAGGGGTTGAAAATATAAAAGGGAGGGTAGATAATGAAAATAAATGGCAACTCTCCACAAAAGAATGGAAAAACGACAATAACTGAATTAGAAAATACATAAAAGTAAAAATGCATAGATATAATAACTAAATTGTGAGCCAGAACAAACACGCCTGCACCATAAGTAGTGTCGTACTCCTACTGGTGGAGGGTTGCTCCATGTTGATATGCAGAAAGAAATGGGAGTTGCAAGACTAGTGGCAAGCAAAAAATTTGTGCTTATAGGGGGCAGTACTAGTCAAGAAAGCTTTCTGTGAAAAGAGGTAAGATATTGCATTAGAAATAAAGCTGTCTTCACTAAAGTCAATTCCTACCCTGCCAAAATTGATACTTATGTCTTCTAGACTTACCATTCTCACCATTAAATATGAAAAAAGATGATGCAGCAACACCATCAGTTCCCTTAACAATCTTAAACACCTCAATCAGATCTCCTCTAACTCTTCTTTTTCAAGAGATCTTAACCTATCCTCGTATGACAATCTTTCTATCCGAGGTATCATCCTAGCAACCCTCCTCTGAACCCTTTCCAACAGTTCAATGTCCTTTCTAAGACAAGGATCCAAAGACTGAACACAATACTCCAATTGTGGCCTAAATAATGACATATACAATGACATCATATCCTCTTTAGACTTGTATTCAATATTTCTGTAGATACAATCTAAAATCCTACTTGCTCTGTCACTAGCAATAGTAAACATAAACCGCTATCAATATTTGCTTATTATGAATTTTAAAATATGCCACATTAAATTTATGTGAACTTCACATCTTTGGTTGACCATTTTTAAACATTGGTTGCTTCACTTAAATTAAAAAAATTATCACTTTAGAAAATATTACACAACTAGTTTGTTAGTTAAACAATAACTTAATATAATGTTATCTTAAAATCATGATTTTATGGCTCATCAGTAAACCTACTAACCTATAGTAGTTACAGTAACAGTTACCAAAGTTTGGTTACACTGACTAAATTCATTGCATAATAACATTAATGTTAGTTTTTGGGTAAAAGTATAGTTAATTTATATCTTTGTTAATAATTAAAAACCTTTAAAGCAAACCTTCTAATAGATCCTACCTTCTACTGGACAGTATCGTGGGAGTTGTGTTGGGTACATCTTCCCTGCTTTAATAAGGCACGTAACATTAGCTATTTTCTCTTTACATCCCTGACTTCTGGCACGATTAATAGCTGATATGGCATCTCGAGATAGTATTTCACACCAGGGCTTGAAATTTAGTTTACTGAAATTCAAGGATTCATTGTCTTTCTTTTCGACCTGTTTAGATGTATTTAATACACTACTGGGCTCCTTAGCTACTAAATCATAGTCTGACAGTAGTCGATCTGTCCGAGAAATCAGGTTTTGTACGTTAGGAACTACAATTTCATTATGAAGCCCGTCTTGCTCTAATATTTTAACTTCACTATGTCGGTTATTACTGTTTCTTGCCGACTTATCCCAAATGTTACTGAGGGAGTCTTCATCATCTATGTTATACTCATCAATATGTTTGGATTGTTGTTGGACCAACTTTAGAGGGAAGAAAAAAATATTTATAATGATTTAAATAATATTAAATAAAATTCTTGGTGATATGGAAACATTCAGTTATTTTGTTAAAATTTGCTTTTTGTCTTATGTTTCACACTATCACAGAGAATAAGCTTTTTTTCTATGGTATTCTCATAAATGTTAGATTCCTTTTTTTCTTCATTATAGAAAAGTGTAAGCGGGTAGATTCACATATATCTATTAGAAGGATTCAATAGATTTTAAATCCTGTCAAAATAGAACCTGGTCATTTGTGTGGTAAGTAATGTATTACATGAACAATGTATCAAAAAACATTGTTAAGTAATAACAATAGCTTCATGTACTACTTTCAAAGTTGGTTCACTATGTCCTAAAACAAAATTCCGGATACAAAGTTTTCAAAGTTAATGTATGATCGACTCATTTTTCAGAAAACATAACTTAATGATAAAGTATAAAATTAATGTGATAATAGGAAGCATTTATTAAACATTTCAGAAGCATCAAAATTCCATCATCGGTAATTTAGAGGCACAAAACAAACAAATAATATTTGTAATTATAACAGAAATATTATAAACATAAAAAGTAAACAATCATAGGCGTGCCCATGAAAAAATCTAGGCATATTGATCACATTATACTTCAACTTTTATATATATAATAAACTCATTTCGTATCATTTAATAAAAAATAAATAAAATTCATACAAACACTATTACATTTGATTTGATTTAATGACCATTTTATTAAAAATTTAGATCAATTTCAGCTTTTCGGAAATGGAAGAAGAGCATTATTTCATTTTCTCGTGTAATAATTTGTATATTCAGATTGTTTACTTCTTATGTATATCAAATTTCTGTTGTAATTACAAATATTGTTTGTTTGTTTTGTACCTCTAGATTACTGATGATGAAATTTTGAGGATTCCAAAACGTTTAATGAATGTATGATGTTCTTCAACCTACATTTGAAACAATATCAAGCAAAGGTTCAAGGATCCAAGATCTTCAGACATTACAGTGTAAACTACAGAGAGAGAGATTTTATTAAAATAATCATTCAATATTGGCAAAATTAATATCTCACTTTTGTTTCCAATTCTAATGGATTTTTCAACTTTTGAAAAACTGTTATTACAATTAAGTGGATCGTAATTGATTTTTTACCACCATTCATAACCAACCATAGTCCAAAATTAAACTATGAATCAAAAACATGATTAAGACTTAACATACGAACAGTAATTTTCACGTCCCTAGTGGTTTTAAAAACAACAGTAAACCTAAAATACCTGAATGTTTCCCCTAATTCTTTTAGTGTTTCCTTGCCATTGTGAACCTTCTTCATCCATTCCAAATATGGTGTAAAAACTGTATGCTAGGAAACCCTGGACAACAAGGATTATTCCTACCACAATAAAAAACGGTTTGTAACGCCTGCACCAACGTGCATTTAGCCCACTTGCTGATGCTGCCATTTTCCATCATGAGTCAAAATAATTGCTATGATCAGGAAGTCCACTTGATTCAAAGCATCCTTTATATTAACTTTAATAATGTTCAACTACATGTGATAGATATTATTAAAACAATAAGTAGAAAATCTGTTAAGCTAGCTGATAGATTCTTTCTTAAACTAAGATAAATTAGTGTTTTTTCCTCCACCTTTGAAAAACATATTTAAACCATCACAAAGAAGCCGTAGCTATGGGCATTTTCACTTGTACCAAAACTGAAGCATCCATCCCACTAAATTAGTAAACTTGTTGCTTCAATCAATAAGGTTGATTGTAGATATTCTCATTCAAGCTGATAGTAGCTCATACCATTTTATATTCCATCGTTAATATGAAATTCCTATAATATCAAAAACAAAGCAGTCAGTAATAGCACTCATGTAAGTCACAAGATATTACACTAATTTTATAAAACTAAACTTAATTTTTTATTGTATTGGACTTGAGTCAAAACCAAAACTTGCTTAATACAGAAATGAAATTATTATTGTAGTATTATTGACTGTTGGATGAAAATTAAAACACACAAATAAAAAAACTACGTATTGACTTAAATATATATAATAATCTATAAAACCTATTTTATCTCCAAATTCATAGAATGAAATTTAAAATGAGTATTTACCATCTCATTACAAAGAAAAATAATTTAGTGTGGAAATAAAATCATAATTTTAGGGTTTTTCACAACATTTGGACACTTTCCATTAACTAGATATTTAAACACCATCTCTGTTATTGTTTTTCATAGTATCATCCTTATCAACAGGGTATTTATTTTACCACAAATACACAATGTGTAAGGCATGTAATCATGCTAAACAGTATGTAATGATCACAGCTGGTTAGTTTCAAAGAAGTAAAACCATGATGAAGATACTATCTGGTCTAATCAGCTATCTCATAAGTCAATATGCAGTAGTATCCCAATTAAAACATATTAATTATTACACTCTAATGCAATAGTTAGAAATGCAAGCCATTTATTTGTGGTACTTCATTACTTGTCACTTTTGAGGTTCCCTTTTCATATCCCAGTTAATTTATTCTTTCAAAATGGCCATTTCTATCTCTTTAGTTTAACCCATATTATAAGTACATCAAGTTTAAAAAAAATAACAGTACTACTGCCAGAACTGGTACTATAATAAGTTATGTAAACAATATTACAACATCAATAAACATAATTTATATCGATTTACAAATCAAAATTCAACTCGCCGAGTTCTCCTCATCTGCTTCGAATGTTTATATATATTGTATGTATATACTGAATAATCGGTCTTAATGTAACATATTCTACTTTTTGTTTATTCAACTTTACAATATTTTTTGTTTTTACTTTTGAGTTTTTGTGGTAAAGTTCTAACAATGTACGTCAAAATAGAATGCAACTTCAAGTTGTATTGCTGTAACTTGTAAAGTTAAGCCTCGAATCCATAAGTTTTCGCCTATTAAAAACTAGTAATACTAAATCTTCTAGCAGTGCATGTCTATTTCTTATTAAATTATTTATACCTTTACACGCCTTAAGTACTTTGAACAAATAATGAATGCACGTATTTAGGATTTTCATTTACATTCAGTATCAAATATTTGAACATTAAAACACGTAGATTAAAGTTCACGCTATACATTTAATAAACACTAATTTATAAAATTTTGTTACCTTAGTTATCTGTTGGGATATTTTGTTATTTAACAGTAGCATAATCCCAAACCACTGTCAAATGATTTCCAACGCAGCCCTCTATTGGTAGTCTAATGAATGTTTTTGGTGTTGAGAGTAAAAATCTCCCTCTTTTGAAGACAGCCATCTGAAACGAGGTAAGCGTGTTTAGGTTGGAGTTGAAGAAATCATATTTAATCTGGTGGAAATGAGCTTAATATGAAAATTTTAATAACTCAAGCTATTATCTGAGATAGCTTGTAATGTTTTAATATTATATTTTGTTGAACTAATATACGGTTAAAATTCAAGTGAAGTTAAACTGAATGTGCTCGAGTATAGATTACTGTTAGTAATAGGCCATGAGTTTTATTTCGGCCTTCCATTTCTTTGTGTGATACACTTAAAAAAATATTTAGTATTGATACAAATAATAAAAACTGAGTATGTCTAAATTATAAGAGGTTATATTAGCAAAAAATGACATAAAATTGTTCTAAAAAAGGTAACCAGCAATAAAGTATATAACATTTGGTAACGCAAACTTTCTAGTACACGTAGTAGTATGACGAGTACGAATAATATGTTAAGTTGTTTCTTAAAAACGAAACAAGGTGAAACATGCTGAAGAAGGTAAGCCAGAAATTCTAAGTTAAAACTTACAAGACTTAGTATCAGAATTAACATGTAGTATTTTGATACAGTTATGAAGGAAGGAATATATTGGTACCATGATAATATTTTAAATTAAATATTATTATTTGAATGGTATAAAGTTCGACTCTCAGAGAGTGATGCTTTAATTAATTTTGTTACTTGCAATTTGCATGACTAGAAAAATTATTAGTCGAAAATCGCAATTGTACATTGATAACATATTAAAAATGAATACGTATTTGTTGAATCAACCAGTAAACTAACCTAATTAAATTCAGAAATGCTATAAAAGTGTGGGTGGGGGGTTACATTCTTTCAGTCATGAAAATAAGAGACTGTGGACCGTCTTTATAACTGCATTTTTTTTTAACTTGTATTTTTTTAAATGTCTCTTAGTTGTTACTACGAGAATAAAATAAATCACCAGTACGTCTTTAAGTCTAGAATACAGTGGTGTCTAATTGACCCTGGCCTAAACTAAACAATAGTACCTATGTCATTGTAACCTTTAATTACATTACTTATCAATATCAGTGTCTCAAGAAGTTTGGGGTCTGTATCAAATAATTAATAGTATGACACTTAAACAATATTTAACAATAAGGTTTAAATTTATAGAAATACTTTACAGATTTATTCTGATACCTTTCACAAAATATGCATTTGGAGATATGGGAATACTGTAAAAGTTACAGTTTTGTCTCTAACTGCAACAACCATTACCGATTTTCCTTGTAGGTCAGCTGGGAATCTGTAGAAAAGATACCATTTTGGTGCAGTCAAAAGCACAACAGCGAAAAGGCATTTTAAGTTTTTATACTGCCTTGAATATACGTACACTGCAATCTAATATGGCTGATTGCGTAGTGATCGGACAAGTTATTGGCATAAGTGGTCATCCAAGCCGCACGTAGAATAGTAAACTTATTAAAAACAAAAATTATACTCGTAAAGTATTTTTATGAGACATTTTAGTATAGTTTTTAAGATTCGGAGTGTATTCACTCATCGTCGTTGCAACCATGGTCTCAAAACACTGGACAGTCTGGTGTCAGTGTTGCAATTCCCATAAATCTCCTAAGGACAGGTCATTTAAAATACGTATATTGATATATCAGAGTAAGCCTAAACACTACAACCTTGTCTATTTTTAGTGATTGTGAACAACAGATTCGTCTTAAGTCTTTCCTCCTATACTGTATGGCTTAATATATTGCCCTGGTTACACTTGCATTGTCATTTGACCCCCCCCCCCTTTTCCAAGAGAGATGTAGATAGGGTGGAGTACATTCCACCCACCTTTGTGATACATTAGCAACAAGCAGAACGTTTTTTGACAGTTCTATTCACTTGTACTAAGCAAAAAGTATTCCCAGAAAGCTAAAACATGGAGAGATAATGAAAATGCCAAAATTATGAACAGAAAGTAAACTTTTGTTAGAAGCTGGAAGGAAAATAATACTTAAGCATTTTTATCATTTTGCTCCTTCTTGAAGTAATTCTATCTGTTTTGTATACTTACTCCTTGTTAGCAGATAAGTTCATTTAGTCCAGATTGTTAAAGTTAAAAAATGCACCAACAGCCATAAAGATGACAAATTTTGGAGAAAGACTTGGTATTTTCTTGTTAGCAAACTCGTCCAAAATGGTGAATGGTAAAAAATACATTCAAATAACTCAAACTAGTTAGAAGAGCAATGTTGCTGTACTAACTAGTTTGAGTTATTTGAATATATATATCTTTTTACCATTCACCATATAATAAACTTGGTCTCCTTTTGAAAGTAAATTTTCTCTACCAGTGCAGTAACTTGGCTCAAATGAAAGCTGTTTAGAGGTGGTTCTTTAGTTGAAAGCAAGATCACATATTCATAAAATAGTAGTTTAATAAAATTTTGAATGAAAGTCCACAAATGTAATGACATGGCCTTTGACACGTGACCTGTAGTGATAGGGTTGAACTAAATTTTAAAAACAAAAATATAAAACACCCATAAAGCCAGTCCTTATTGCATTGGTATTTATCAATCCTTCCTTTAAACCCTTTCCAGGCAAGTCACAGGTGAAAGGTATTTGTTGACTCACATTCAAAATTTTATTGAACTACTATTTCATGAATTTATGTCAATAACTTTGGAATCAAACTGTAG